ATCTTCCTACACGCTCTGTTTGTAGTAATTGCCTTTGTTTAAGAGCTAGTTGTTGTTGTTTCCAGAAGATCTGACAACCATAGTCTGCTACGCTAGTGATGCAGGCAAGGTATAATTGTCTAAAGGCTCTAGGTGATAGGCCTTTATTGCTATTTGCTAGTCTGCTTGCCGAGTAAAGGCTTGGCTTGCCTGTTGATTTCTAATAAAGCAGTGATCCTTGAACTTAAGGGCTTTGTCAAAGTAGATGCCTAGCCATCTAATTTGCTGTTTTGGTTGAAAGGTCTCCTGGGTGGGTAGTGTGAGAGAATCTTGATCCTTTTTTGATTTAGTCCAATTTACTAGTTCAGTCTTTGAGCTGTCGAATTTGATTGCTAGCTCCTCTGCTAGGTTAAAGAGTTTTTGGGTCTCTTTTTCTAGTAATTTTACGTTTTTCTTAATAGATGTTGTAGATACTGATATCTGTAGGTCGTCTATATAAGAAGAGGAGTAGATATTTCCGTTTGTTGTAATTGACTGAAATAGTGGTTTTGTGTAGATTAAAAATAGGATTGGAGAAGCGGGGCTGCCTTGGGGCGTACTAGTGTTTACCTCCTGTAGATCTTCTACTTGGCCATCAAAGGATAGCTCTAGTAGTCTGTTTTCTAGGAAGGATTTAGTCCAGGATAGCAGGCAGCAGGGGAGTCCTTGATCCTTCATATTTTCTAGTAGCTTATTTTTAGCCACGTGATCAAAGGCTCCTTTTATGTCTAAGATTTAGTCTTATATAACGTTCTAAACTAGTAATAACCTTTATTAAGCTAATAACATCTATCTAGAAGCTAGTCTTATTAAAGTTATAAATATTATCTAGATAAACTCTAAACTAGTTAATTGTATCTTGTATAAGCTTAAACTACAAGCTAATAACCTTTAGGTCTTTCTAAAGAGCTCTCTAATAGTCCTTTGCCTAATTAAAAGCTATCTTAAGCTCCTCTATATAAGTAATAAAGCGCTAAGCCTAGTTTTTACTAATAGGTACCCTACTACAAGCAGCTAGCAATTAATTAGCAATATCTACTACCTTATATAGCTAAGGCGCAAATCCTTACGCGTTAAGGTCAAGAATGTATTATACAATAGTCTATTTCTCTGCTATAGTGAGCTTCTAGACTCTAGGTCGTGTATTAAGTTAATTAGTAATTCTACAAAGCTAATTAAAGAGCTGCTAATATTATACGCTATAGGCTGCTATAGCACGTTGTAAAGTCTTAAATTAGCTAGTAGTAAAGGCCTGAAGCGTAAGGTTAATTCTACCTTTTTTATACAATAAGATAGCGTTACGTTGTAGAGACATAATATATTCTTTGTCGTGTTCGCAGTGCCAAGAAAAAGTGGCCGGCTCACTGGTTTGGCCGGCTCACTGGTGTAGTACGTTAATGATAATCTACGGTATTATTAGTAAATCTAGTCTAGTACAGTAGTAAGACAAGCAAAAAGAAAAAAAAAGAAAAAAAAGAAGAAGGGGTTTACTGTACTGCTGTGTACTTTATTCTTCCTTCTACTATATACTATACAAGACTAAGTATCCGTGTAAACCTCGGATTCTAAGCACAGTCTTACGTGCCTTGATGCGATTTCTTTTTTCGTTTTTTCCCCCGCAGACTGAAATGTACTTTATATTTTTTCTTTTCTTTTTTTCAGTGCGAGAGAGCGTTGGAAAAGGGGCGGATTTCCCCGCTCTTGCGCTAGATTCTTTGCTTGGCCGGGATTGCGAGCAGTGGTATGGCGTCGAATCCGGTGGTTCATGCACGGGAAGCAGAACAGACAGCATGGTACTTGGATAAACGTCGTCCAGCTTACCCCCATGTGCACCAAATATCCCATCGTCATACCTTAAGAGGCCCCATTCTCACCCCTCAAATTCCCCCCCGCCACCAACATCCGCCGGATTCTCCACGCCATACGCATCCTCAAAGCTCGCAAGCTTAACACCCCACATACTCCCCGGCCTATCCAATCTCCCCCCCTCACTATTACTACCATCCTCATCCTCATCTTCTCCCTCCCAATTCCCGTCTCCAACCCAGCGAAACGCCAACACAGCACCGTCTCTCAGCCCCGCACCTTTCGGACACGCCTTGACATTGTGCGTGTCAGTAGTAGACTTTGCACTGGCCCTCGCTTTACCCTTCCCTTTACTTGAAGTAACGACATCTTCGTCCGCAGAGTCAAGACCACTGTATTCCCACTCCCCGAGCTTAAACCCCTCGTTCGCGTCGTTGATGTTGACCGGCCGCCCAAACTGGATGTCAGATGGCGATGCGGGCAGCGGGATCGCGGCGCCCGTGTCGGCGTGGCGCAGGTCCGTTTGCTCGAGCGCGGAGTAGAGACTCGCTTTTATCGTGTCAAAGGTGTGCAGGGGGTCGACGTGCAGGAGGACGGTTGTCTTGTGGGATTTTAGGCGGAGCGTCCATGTTTGGGGGGATGGCGTTGCCATTGTGCGTGTGCGGAGATTTGGTACGCTTTGCAGGAACGATATGCGCGTCGACTCGGGTTGCTCGGGGGTTGGGGATTTTGGAGGGTGGTGGTGGTGCTTGGAGGTTACGGGCGTGGGCACGCGTTGTTGGTGGCGGCGTGGAGGGGTCCGCGGGGAAAAGACACGCGCGCGACACCAATGTCATGCCGAAGAAACAAGTCTTGGCGCCCGAGAAGGTTGCCCTCTCAATCGCATCGCGCTCTTCACCTAGGAAGTACCCGCTCCATTGGCCTTTTTCGTATACCCAATTTCGCGTCGCAGATTGCAAGTATCAAGTCGGCGGCTTGCGATATGCCTTTTCTCGCTGCCCACACAATCGCCGCTGCCAGCACCTCCGCACCCCCCTCCGCAAACCTCACATCACCGAATCGCACCACACCATCTCGTCCGCCCACCTGGGCACTGCACCGCATAACCATGGCATTGCCCCCGCTGCACACAACGACAATGCCCGAGTCAGACCCAACGCCCCAGCCCACAGCGCCAAAACAACCCCTCTCCACCGCACCCCGCCTCGGCATGCCATTTGACCGGCGGCTCCTCCTCACCACAACGCTCTCCTTCATCTCCGGGTTTACGCTCGGGTCGCTCAACGCAGGACACATGGCGTCTCTACGGTTCCGAGCGGAAAATGCGCACCGGCTGCCCGTGTCGAATCCCGGGTGGTACCTGTACCACAAGTCGAAGAACTACTACAAGTGGCGGTACGGCATCGTCGAGGGCCTGAAAAAGGGCTCGTACATTGCCGCGTGGAGCACTGTGTTTTTCGTCGTCGAGGAGAGCCTCGATATCTTTCGCGGCACGTGGCGCGCCGGGCGCACCATGGAGGAGATGGAGGGCGTCGATGAGCTGGACTTGAAAAGCATTGATCGCGGCGTCAAGGGGAGTAGGGATTGTGTTAGTAGTGCAATGGCCGGAATGGCGACGGGCGGACTGTGGAGTGCGTGGCACCAGTTTCCTGTTTCGACTGCTGCGAGGACAATTCGTATGGGCCTGTTGGTGGGCTTGGGATTTGGACTTGGTCAGGATGGCTTAGTTTGGGCGAAGAAGAGGTGGGGTGGGGATACCGAGTCTGAGAGTTGGATTTATAGGGGCTCGAGGAATAGGCAGATTGAGGAGGATGTGAGGATCAGTGTGGAAAAGGAATGAAGGTGCTCCTGGTCATGTTCAAAGAGAAAAAGGCACATGTTAGCTGGGACATGTGATGGGGCGCATGGCAACGAGAGCCACGGCAAAGGGTAAGCTGCAGATCCGAATGACTGCACCTGATGAGAGCTTCCCCAATGCAATTACAAAGGAAATTTCATACCGAGCATAAGGAAGCAATGCCACAATGTACAAAAATTGTATACTTTTCACAGACGCTTGACGCCATTTATTTTGGATATCATTTCCACGGCTGCATGATCCCTGTCGTAACGGTCATGCCCAAACCCCATGTCATCATCTTATCCCGCCTAACCACTGCAACTTTATTCCTTGTCAAAGCGCACGGCCGGCTGCTCCCGAATCCAGCTCAAGTCGACTTTGTGACCCAACAACTCCCTGATGTTGCTCACTGCATACTTCATCATGGTCGGCCTCTCAAGCGAAAGCCCAAATCCGTACACGCGCATGTCCTTGGGAAGGCCCATGGGCTCCAACATCTCAGGCCTAAACATGCCAGAGTTGCCAATCTCGAGCCACTTTTTCAGGCCAGTGTGGAAACCGAAAATCTCCATCGAAGGCTCGGTGTAGGGGTTGTAGGCAGGCTTGAAGCGCAGGTTAGAGATGCCCATGTTGGCGAAAAAGTCTTCGAGGAAGCGCTGGAGACCTCCAAGCGTAAGGCCAAAGTCAGCAATGACGCCTTCAATTTGGTGGAACTCGGCCAAATGTGTAGCATCGACGGTTTCATTGCGGAAGACGCGGTCGATGGAGAAGTAGCGCGCAGGGCGGGGGTCTTCGGCCAAGCGGTGGAGAGCCCATGTCGAAACCGCAGTGGTGTGGGTGCGGAGAACGAGGCGGAGGGATTCGTCTTCTTCCCAAGGGTATCGGTCTGTCATTTTAGCACTCGAGCCTCACTTTATGCGGTAGATTGTCGACTCACATCCTATTGAGCCAAAAGCGCCTTCTTGGTGTACCTTCCTGACATCTTGCCAGTACTTTTCAAAGTCTCGTGGCTTCTTTTCCCTCTTTTCGCTCTCTGGAGTAGAAAAGAGACGTTTTGATCCCGCCTCCATACGTTCCATGGTCGCCTCATTTGCCTCGTCTAACCGCGGTTTGTCGGCTTTTGGTGGATATGAGACGAAAAAGGTATCTTGCATGTCACGGGCGGGGTGTTGTTGCGGTACGAAGAGGGCGTCGAAGTTCCAGAAGCCAGTGTCGACGTAGCTGTACTCATTAGCCGCGGATGCCACTGAATTCCAACTCAAACTCACTGTCCTGTAGGCATCTCGACGAAACCTTGTGAGAAGAAGATGTTCCGGAACTCTTGTCGGACCTTGTTGAGAGGATGTAGCGCGCCAGCATCTTGGTTTGCTCCGAGCGCGGCAAAGTTGTAGGGCTTGAAGTTTGCAGTCTTCCACGCATCGTTTGCAAGGAGCTCGACGGTCAAGTCGGTATGCTCTACGGGTATCTCCTTTGCGTACTTTGGGCCCTTGGTGACGGTGTATGTGATAACCTTGGTAACAGTCACAAGCTTCTTCTTCTTCAGCTGAGCAAGGAGTTTAGCGTCTTCGAGCGATTGGCTGTCCTTGATGCCTTGTAGGAGTTCGCGGTTGAGGTCCTTGGGCTCTTCGGTCTGAATGAGGACTAGGTTGTCTCCGTCTTTCTTGATCCACTTGTTCTTGAAGCCATTGCCCTGGCCCACGCTGGCGACTTCCTTTCCAAAGATAGTCTGTAACTCGTTAGCACACGTCATTGGCTTCTAGTGCACAACAGACGTACCGGAAGTTCCGCAATTGGTACGCTACCCCTCTCTTTGACCAACTTCCAGACCTTGAACTCGTGGCTTCCCTCTGCGACTATGCCCTCTGACTCTGGCGTCAGGACGACCTTTTCCGAGTCGAGCGACTTGTATTCGACCATGGAGCGGCTCGCTAGCCTGTCGAGGGCGGCCTTGATTTCAGCCTGGGTAACTGCGGGGAAGTCTTCATTGGTCTGGAGGGGCTCCTTTGTGTCGAGGAGGTCGAGGATTTCCTGCGTGAGGTTTTGGCCCTTGGCCTCGAGCGGGACCGGCACTGGGCCTCGTGTTCCAGGCATATTTGCGGGTGGTGTGGGAAGTCGGTATGGCGGCGTAGAACGTGGGGTTACTTGCGATGAGTCGAAAGTGGAAAGCAGGTCGGAGATTTGATGGCCCGTGTTCGGAGCTTGCCTAGTTCTGATTGGCTAGCTGGCGGCGCGCAGCACCAGCACCAGCACTGGCACCTTGGCTGTGCACTACCCTCTTGAGCTCTGCAGTACCTTCAGCTGTAGACCATCTTGGCCAGCTTCCGAGTACAGTATTACATGATGGCATGAGGTGAGTCATGACTCTGGTTGCTTTTGCTCGGGTCAGCGGGGGTGTCAAATATTTTCAACGTGTTTTTTTCGGGTCAGAAATCCTGATTGCTGCCATAGGCAAGACTGTCAAACTATGATGCTACTACAGTACTAGAGTCACGATTGCATCGCAGAGCACACTACAGCCACACTCGGTCAATATGTCCAGAGGCGCTAGCAAGTCATGCTTTCGATAGTAGCAGTAGGAGCATCGAGGTGCAGAAGTATACTTAGGCCGCGCTGCGAGTGCAAAAGCATAAAGTGTAGAATTCAATAGTTTTGCAGGCGATGGATGCAGGCCGTGTCTGTACAACAGCAGGCTATGACGCTCCCAGCGTTTGAGGTTTCCTGTTTCCTGGGCTCTTGTGCCCAACATCCCCACCGGTTCTTATTGCAGCGCGGGTCGAGCGGAGGATGCACGCGCAAGAGGCCGCGCAAGTCTGTCGCTAGGCGCATGTGCATATCAAACACACGACGAGCATAATGTCCAAGGCCGTGGTGTTGCTTTTTTTATGTTTGGCGAGGCGTCATGCTTACGCGTGCTATTGCCGGGCATTTGCAATCGTTACGACTACAGGTTGAATTGTTTACGGGGCACTTTGAGCTAGGCTGGTTATCGAATGACGGCAACAGTGCCATTTGCGTGTCGGGCGTGTTGTGGTACCCGAGTCGGTTATCGCAAAGTTTACCGCATGGCAACAGCAATCAAGATGGCGCCGGCGTTTTGCATGGGGGGGGGGGAAGGGCCGGGAACATGAGCTTGGCGTTAGTGGTTGATGGACGGTGCAGCCTCGGAACGGGAGTGTGAGTGGCTAGTCGGTGTCGTGATGGCGTGCTTTGGGGGAAAGGTAAACACGGCGGCGGCGGGGTGTTGCTCGTGGAAACGACCGCCACACGTCAGCAGGCTATGCGTGTGATGCGTGCGATGGGGGGAGGCGACGGGCAGCCAACGTCATGGGCTGGGGGGAAGCATGCCGACGCGTGCCCTTGTTGCGGCAAGCAAGTATTGGAAAGGGCGGGACGTGTCAGAGAGGGGCCGAAGAGGCTCAACACCAGATGCCGGTCGAGGTGCAGGTGCAGGCACAGGTCGAGGTGCAGAGAGGGAGCCTGAGGTGGACAGCTGTCATGCGACGTGAGCGTGTGTGTTTGACCAGATTTTCAGGGGGCGATGCAGGACGAGGAGCAGCAGCGGCATGGCATGGCATGCTGCATCTGGCGGGCAGGATTATTTTTAGCCGACAAAAGGCTGTGGGCGCGAGTGCGAGTGAGCAGCGAGAGGCAGAGGCAGAGTGGATTGCGCTTGAACGGCGCGGCGGCGCGGGAAGTCTGTCGTGGTGGCGGCGGCGCAAGCAGCCAGGGAGACGAGGCCGCGCAAGCTGACCCGCTGCGGCCTAGCGCGCCCCGAGCCGCCCAATCAGCGCCCTCGCCAGCCAGTCGCTAAGGCGCCCCCAGCAGCCCAGCCAACGGCAAAAATTGAGGCCAGGGGGCGCATATTGTCGTGCAATCTGACCCGCCAGCCCTCGTCGCCCGCGCTGCACTGCAACAATGCGCTCGCTGCACCGGCACTGGCACCTTGCCTCGCGGCGACGCCTTTTTGCCCATCGCCCGCCCTCGCCCTCGCCCATGGACGCCACGACGTCACTGCCGCCGAGCAAGAAGGAAGAAGACGGAAAAGGAAACGAAGAAAAAGCTCGTCGGGCGAAGGGGCGAGGGCTCGCGGCGACGTTGTTGAGGCAGGGCGCCACTGGCGGTTGCGCAACGAGCTGAGCCATGCCGCATCGAGGGTTATGCAGGGCCCGATACAGTGCGATGATAGCTGGGCGTGGTTTGATTTGCGCCTGCCTGCCCTCTGCAATGGCCTGCCAAGCGCCTGTGGGAGTGGCCGTCGAGGAGGTCGTGGCGGTGGTGGTGGTGGTGGTGGTGGTGGTGGTGGTAGCTGGCGAGGGAGCGCAGCATCTACGGCTTGCACACTCACACTTGGTATGCGTCCAAGCGGCAGTGATGGCGGTAGCAGCAGTAGCGATAATAGCAGCAGCAGTAGCATCATCTGCGGGCGTTGCGCGTCGCCAGGTTCCGCCCGGCCAAACAGGCTAGCCCGTCTCTTCCGCCGCTCCAGAATGCGATGCTTGACCCTTGCAAGCTGGGCCAAGCTAGGGCTAGACGGCAGGAGCGAGCCAAGCCTACCTAGCCTCGCTCGACTGCTCATGGGGGGGCGACTAACGAGGGAAAAAGGGTCGGTCGCTCTCCTTCTTGTCCCGCCTATCTCTTCCCCCCTCCCCCCCCAACGCTCAGAGCGCCGCCCAAGGACAGTCACTCGTTTCACTCTCCGCCGTCTCAAGTGCAAACCTCTCGCCTTGCTTTGCCTTGTCCTGTCTGCCTTGCGTCCATTTCTGCTCGCCAGGCCGAGTATACACGCAAGCCTGCCAGCCTTTTTGTCAGCACCCCAACCTGCTCGTTGCTGCACCAACACCACAACACCACCAGGCGCCGCCGCCGCCGCCGCCTCCTCCTCTTCAGCCCCCGACCCTCCCAAGCAACGCTCTGTTTGCGCCCCCTCGCCGCAGATGCGATAGGCAACCCTCGCGCTACACGCTACTCTCCACACATTGATTCCTCGCAATGGCGTCGCGATTCAATCCCAGCAACCTGTTCGTCCGAACGCGCTTCAACTACGAAAAGCTGCCCGGCCAGGACAGCCAGGGCTCCTCTCCGCTGCCTCTCTTCAGCACAAAGTCATGGGGCAAAAAGGTCGGCCAGCCTGCCTGGGCTAACCGCATCCAGCGCCCACGCCTCTCCTTTGCGCGTCTCATTACGCTCGCTGTTACTGCAGTTCTCGTCTTCTCCATGATCGGCACCGGCGTCTACCGAAGACATCGATGGCACGGCGAGCAGCACAAGGGCGACGAGCGCAAGCAGTACCACTGGGAGCATTACCCTCGGTAAGTCGGCTCGGCCGCCTACTTGTTACCCGACGCATCCTAACATCGGCAGACTCAACGGCTTCTACAACGGCGTCCGCACGCTTGTGCCCTTTGGCGACTGGGTCTCGGAGCAGGACTATGTAAAGTACTCGCAGAGCCCCAACCCCGAGGACAATGTCAAGCCCAAATGGCCGCACATGTCCAAGGAGAACAAGGAGCCGCCGCTTGACCCGGTGCCCTTTGACCCCTACAAGTTCGACTCGCAGCAATACCTCAAGGATCATGACGAGGTCAAGACCTGCTATCTCGACGAGGAGGACAAGGTTGACCTGCCTGACATTTACGCCTACCCCGGCATTCCCCAGAACATGTCTGCCCCTTTCTTCGGCTCGTACGAGGAGCTCGGCTTCGATGACAAAAAGTGCTTCGAGCGCTTTGGTCGTTTTGGTCCCTATGGCTACTCATACTCGCGCGACGAGGGCGGTCTCGAGATGGACGGCAAGTCTGAAAAGGCCGGTGCCGACAAGATCTGGAGCTGGGAGAAGAAGGTCGACTACCGCAAGGTCAACTGGGCGTCTGCCATGAAGCGATGCCGCGAGAAGAACGCCCACCGCTTCAAGAAGAACGCGACTGAAGAGTCGACGACTGGAAAGAAGAAGGTGCCGCGTCACGCCTACGTTCTCCGCACCTGGACCGGCTACAAGTACAGCGACTACCAGATTCTCACGCTTCGAGCCATGATCAACGAGCTTGCTCTCAAGTCTGGCGGCGAGTACGATGTCCACTTCCTGCTTCACGTCAAGGACGACAGCCTGCCCATCTGGTCGTCCGAGGAGATTTACCAAAAGGTCATCGAAGACAACCTGCCAAAGGAGTTTTGGGGCATGGCTACGCTGTGGTCTGAGCAGCAGATGCGCATGTACTACCCCGAGCCATTCCCCAACAACGTCTACAACCACGCCAAGGCCCCTGTCCATTCGGTCTACCGCAGCGCTCACTTCGCCATGCAGTGGTTCGCCCAAGCTCGCCCCGAGTACGACTTTTACTGGAACTGGGAAATGGATCTCCGTCTCAGCGGCCACTACTACGAGTTCCACAACAAGATTGGCGAGTGGGCCAAGAAGCAGCCTCGCAAGGGCCTGTGGGAGCGGTCGTCGCGCTACTACATTCCCGAGCTCCACGGCTCATGGAAGAACTTCACCGAGATGGTCGAAGAGGAGCTGTTTAACAGCGACGAGAAGCCCGTGTGGGGTCCTCCCAAGTTCCCCAACACGGGCATGCTTCCCAGCCCTCCCGAGGTTGAGCCCCCTCACTCGTACCTCCAGGACAACTACGAATGGGGTGTTGGGGAAGACGCCGACATCATCACCTTCAACCCCATCTTCGACCCCGCCAAGACCAACTGGGTGTTCCGCGACGATGTTACCGGCTACGACCTCGAACTCCCCGAGCCCCCGCGCCGCTGTGCCATCATTACCGTTTCGCGTTTGTCAAAGCGCCTTCTGGACCTTATGCACCGCGAAACGTACCTGATGAAGCACCACATGTTCCCCGAAATGTGGCCGCCAACTGTCGCATTCCACCACGGACTCAAGGCGGTGTATGCTGCACACCCCGTGTACTTTGACCACAACTGGCCTCTGGAGACCCTCGAGGGAACCTTCAACCGCCCCCCGAAGCCTACCGACAGCGTCTTTGGCTGGGGCGAACACAACCAACTGGGCAACAGCTTCTACTACAATGCCGCTTTCTCGTCCGAGTGGTGGCGCCGATGGCTAGGCTCGCGCGAAAACGACAAGGGCGGTGCGGCCGAAGAAGAAGCCGGCACCGGCCGGTTGTGCATGCGCAACACGCTCTTCCATCCGATCAAGTACGAAAAGGGGTCCGAGTGACTTCGCCTGCTTCGCAAATATACCCCTTTAATTGTTGGCATTTGCGGCCTCGTTGTTTGCCGCCTCATTTTTCGGCTCCGCAAACGCGCTTGTTTATAGATTCTCGTGTACCTCACTTTGGGTTTTGCATCTGGGGCGCCCACGTTTTGTGGCGTTTTTTTACCATCGGGCGGCGCATGTTGGCGTTTATTTCGTTGAGTCTTTCCTTTTTTTTGGTCCTCGTTCAAGGAACATTTGATTCGAGCATATTTCCCTCGTCTCTCCAGCAGCCTACACCTCGAGGACTGGATTGTCTGATCTTCCCAGCGTATACCTATTACTTTGCACGAAAAAGTCGCGGAAGTGTAATTAGCCGACGACACCGGCGTCCCCTCCTTTTGACCAGCGTCTTGGGGTGGGCGCAAAAGAAGCCTGTTTTGGATTGTGGAAGGGGCAGCGGAGGCGAGTTTGTCTGCTGTCGGAAGGGGTTTCTTTTCTTTGGCGCTCAGTATGTTGACATGTGTAGATGATGGGAAACTGTATCCGGGCTCTTTTTATCATGGCGAACCCACCCAAGGCTGGTCTCTGAACTGTGGTTGTACATTTATGAAATGCAATACAAATAATCACATAATGCCCAAGCAGCTGCACGTCACAGTTGGAGTTTGGTTGTGTATCGCTGAGTTGTCAGGTGCAGTCTTATCATCACGATTATGGTGTCGTGGTGTGGGTGCAAGGCATCAGGCGGTCCGGGGCAAAGCTTGTCGGGATGGTGCCGGTACGCTCCTGTGCATCATCGCGGTGCATTGTAGCGGGCTGATCCCCAGCCGCCTTTGATCCACATTTCATCGCCACTTTCATCACGGCATCCTCCACCTTGTCTCGGCTTGCCAGTGATGTTGTGAATGCGGTGGCGGTGTTTTTTTCCCTCATTCCCGCCAGGGGTCAAGGCGATGCGACGTGCCACGTGCTAGTGCCAGAGCACCGTCACAATCGGGTTTGCACGGCATGGCCACGTCTTTTGCATTCCCCCCTTTGCATTCGTGACGATGAATTGACACGCGGCTGTCCCCACACGTTGTCGTCGGCGCTAACCCCCGTATACTAGTCCAGACAAGCTCTGGCGAGTGGCCTGTCTGCAGCTCCCAAGCCTCGCTTGCCGCTTGGCTGCGAACAGTCAAGACGGGCCGGGAACAGCAAGGCGGCGATAAGTGCGGGCTATTAGATCTAGGCTGTTCCTGGAACCTGCACTGCCCTACATGAACAATGGTGCACGCCCGCCATGTGAGGCGCATCATAGCCTGCTCTTGACCTCCTTTTGCTTTTTGCTGATTCTTCTCTTCCAACCGCGGCTTTGTCAGCCCCCCCAGACGTTTGCCACAGGATCATGCGCCTCATACATAGCAGCCCACACTCACCATGAGACGCCCGCTCGAGATCCTTCTCCTCCTCCTGGCCCATATCGCCCACCTCTCAGCCGCCTTGCCTGCTGCCCGCCGCAGCACATCGTTTCGCGCCCTCCGCGGCCTCTCGCCGCTGTCAAACTCCTTTTCCAACGGCCACACGTACAAGAATGCGCCCACCAAGTACTTTTACGAATCTACCTTTAATTCACACTACGATGGCCGATTTGCCTCGGGCGAGGTCCCGGTTCTGGAGCGGGCATGGAGCTTCAAGCTCATGCTGAAGACATATACCGAGACGATGGAGCAGATTGGCATCGAGACATGGCTCATGCATGGATGTCTGTTGGGTTGGTGGTGGAATGGAGGCTTGATGCCCTGGGACAAGGACCTGGACTTTATCATGGAGGAGGAAGGGATGAATGAGCTAGCCGAGTGGTGGAACATGACGATTCACCATTTCGATGCCAAAGACCTTGGTCTCGAAGACCAATTGTCAGTCGAGAGCGACAAATGGGCCACGGAACGCAGTACCGACGAAGAGATGGACGAAGACGACGAGACGCGAGCGAGAAGATTGGAGTGGGAACAACAGGTCCGGGAGAATGGCAAGAAATACCTCTTGGAGGTCAACCCGAATTACACAAACACGTCGACAAAAGACAAGTACAACCTCATTGACGCGCGCTGGATCGACGTCTCCAACGGCCTGTACATTGACATTACCACCCTGCACGTTGCACCCGCCAAGTCTGAGACACCTCAGACGCCCGACGCCGATTCGCCTGACTGGCCCGACTCGTTCGACTTGTACCCCTACTCCTCCACGCGCGAGTCCCTCCACGAGCCCGACGACGCCGACGACGAAATCCAAATGTACATCAAAGACAGCCACTCATACCTGTCCTCGCAAATCTTCCCCCTGCGCACCTCGACGCTCGAAGACGTGCGCGTCAAAATCCCCTATGCCTACGAAGAGCTGCTCATTGAAGAATACGGTGCAGATTCCCTGACCAAGTCCTGGTTCAATGGCTACCTGTTTGACACGCCTTCGCGCAAGTGGCAAAAGTCGCGTCCGACGGACCAGCAGCGCGCGTATTTCATGGCTAAACATGGAAAGGGGCGGGGCAGAATTAGTGGAACGGGTAGAATTGGGCATGGATGGGATGGCCGCGTGAGGCATGCGGGTAACCTAAGGGATAGGGATGAAGATGATGGTGCTGACATGGAGCCGTGAACGAAGTCGTAAAAACGGAGCCGTCAATGAAGCCGAGGTGGAGTGATTTGTTGACTTTTTTATTTCTACGCTGAAGCTATCTAGCACTTATTGATTCTAAGCCAGTGGTGTTTAGGGCGTTTGGACTATATATACATGATTGGCTATATAAATGAATGCACGAACGGAGGGGTTTTTTTTTCCTGCTTTGACGGCATAATATCCGTTGTCAAGAAAGAAAAAAAGTTCCATACATCTACATATGTATATAATCTTGACTTACTTATTCAACAATATCTACTACATTCAAAACTAGCATGTTCAATCTATCCTGGCCAATTGCATATATGTCCTTGTGACCCGTCTCTCTCTGTCCTAGGATTTCCCTGGGTTCAAATGGTACAATCAAGTACCCAACTCTGCATAGCCCTCGTGTGTGCATGTACATGGTTTTACCCGCCAACCAACCAAGATACATACGTAATCTACTGCCCTCCCTCCCTCCCTCTTCACCCCAGTCACATACGTACCCTTCCTTATCCCTAGGCTGTACACTCAACCCCAGCTCAAGTGCAAGCATTACTTTACTACATTAGCCCCTCTCCCCCTCTCCACACATGCACAAAGTAACTACTTAGCAGCAAAAGTACCCCTTGCCCCTTGGACCAACACCAACTTCGAGTTTTCTGGAAACCGCTAGGAAAGCACGCTATCTAGGAGAACCAACCACGAGGAATCGACTAACAGCACTTTCAACACCTGTAGCTAAGGCGCTAGCGCGTAGTAGGGAGAAGAAGGAGGCCTTCCTTCGTTTTCCTACAACTATAAGAATTTTCTTATAGAGCTTAGGCTCTAATGCTAAGACTAGAGGGGCTAATAGGAACGCAGGAGCTTATTAAAGCTTAAATTTAGCAAGAAACATAGATATATTAAAATAATAAAAATAACAAAAAAAGACTAGCCTTAAAAGACCTTAGAGGCACAAGCAAACGACTAATGGATAATAATCTAGAAATTAAGATGGCTAAGGAGGCCTCTACGCCTTGCCCTAACAGGCAACTAGAAGAACCGCCTAGGCCTACCTATACTAGGACAAGGAGCAATTTTTCTGTATTTATTAGAGTAGTGCTAAGATACCCTATAGTAGGGAAAACACCAAAGGCAACCTCTATTAAGGAGGCCTTAGAGATTGCTAGAAACCTAGTAATCTAAGCAGCTAACTTAGCTAAAAACAACCCTACTAGGCAAACTAGTTTACTAGACCTTGTAGAAGTCTTTAGAGACTTTACAGAGAATAGTAGAGTAAATAAGAAAAACTCTATAATTCTAAGAGACTAAATCTCCTCTCTATCTAACGTCTCTAAAGAACTAAGAGAGAAAGTTAGACGCCTTAAAAAACTAAATACCCCGCCCACCTAACCTTAAGCTCAGCCCCCTAGCTCCTACGCAACAGTAGCAGCTAGTAATTAAGAACAACCTTAGACATATATCTAAAAAAACAAAACTAAAAATACATAGAAAAAAACACCTAAAAAGACAACTAAAAAAAAGACTACTAGCCTATTAGAGGGCTAAATTATTCTAGTGTTAAGAGTATAGATCAAGTGGAAGTAATATAAGACTTCTGGTATTGATCTTCTTGTTGGTTAGTTTTCGCAGATAGAGCGGCAGTGTGCAAGAGGACGGTTACTTTAGGCAAGTAGAATAACTCTCTATATTGTACTTATACTTAAAACTTAAGTTAAACACATTAAGCTATAAGGGCTTAATGCCTAATGCTATATACTTGTGTAGTCCTAGTGTCCTAGTAGTCCTAGTAGTAACAAGGGGTTGTAGGACTACGGGGATTGGTAGGACTAGTCACGTGGTCTTAGTAAGTCCTAGTGCATAAAGCATGCCAAGGCTAAGTAGGATCTATAGAACTCGTCACGTAATTCCTTTTCTTGCTACATTCCCGCCGTCTCTTAGATTACCCGTAAAACAAATCTAATAGCGAAATGTCCTCCACATTCTAAGGCTAGTCATAACACTATCCTCCTCCTCTTGTAACTCGTCCTTAAGGCAATGTATAGCCTAGGTTTTTAGGAGAGGTATGTTGCTATAATTTCGTAGTTGTCGTAATTAGGGTGTTTATAGAAGTAAGTTAGTGTTAGAAAAGGTAAGTTGTTATAAACAAGAGATTGCTATTAACGTAGCGTTTGTGCAAGCGCCGTCCTCCTAGGAGCTAAGGGTTTCCAGGAGCGTTTCGTTCTTAGGAGCGGTAGGTTTCTAGAAACGCTTAGTTTCTAGGAACGCTTAGGGATAGATACTTCCGTCCGTAACAGGTTTAGTCTAACAAGCACCGCGTCCTAAGGGTGTGGTGTTTGTTACGCTAACTTGATTAGGGTTCAGCGTAGTAGCGCGCTATAACTAGGCTTGCCCCGCGTTATCTAGGTGCGCATTGTGTTCCTAGTAAGTTCTCTTCCACTTTCTCGTTCCGCTTAGTTCCGTTATTGTCTTGCCAACCGCATCAAGTCTACTAAGGTCCTTGCTATAGTTTCTTGTTCTCGTTGTTTAAGGAAGCGGTTGCCCTATAAGATGTCTTCTCTTAACTAAAAGTGTGCGAACTATGTTCGTGCGAACTGTATAAGTTGTGAACTAAAGAATTAACCGTTACCTAATTTTTTAAAAATTAATAAGGAAATGTCTTGTCTAGAGCAGTTAGAAGATAAGGAAGAGGCTCGTCTTCGTGTTAAGGAGGATATAGCTAAGGCGGCCTTATCGCGTGCGCGGCAGGCGCGGGAGAAGCTTTCGCGGCTTTAAAAACAAAAGAAATTGTTACGTTGTAAGGAGCAGGAAATGTTTAATTATAGTTTAGCTATAGTTAAGGAGTTAGAGGCCCTTAAGAAGTTAGAGGAGTTCAACTCTAAGGTTGCGTTGGTGAACCTAGAGGCTCCTTTAGGCGCGGCTACTGTGGATTAGTCTTTTCTATAGGATGTTGGTGATACTATGCTAGGCGCTAGCAGCAGTTCGTAAGGTTTGTTTCTCGTTCCTATATATTCTCGCTATCTAGGTATCCTAACTACTTAATTAGGTATTCTATTTGATTGTTTTTATTTTAGTGTGCGATAATTTTTTTTAACTTTAAACTTGTCTTCTTTCTTAGGTTTATAATAGAATATTCTCTATAGTAGCGTTTTAGGGTCTGCTAGTTCTAATAGGCGTATATAGAATCTTAGGTGTATCTTTGCGTTAGCTAGCAGGTTAAGTGTATATGTAACTAGTCTGTTTTATTTCAAAATTAAAAATAGTCTAACCTTGACGTTGTCTAGTCCCTTGCTAGGTCGTTTTGTGCGAAGGTTTTTTGTAAGTAGATATACTTTATCCCCCTTCTTTAGCTAAGGTGCTATTTTTCTTTTCTTGTTCTAATAGAAAATGCTTTAGCGTTAAGCCTGTTTAAGTAATTCTTGTAGTTCTTTATAGATTTTCTTAAGTTGTTTAGCTGTTGCAATAGCTGCTTCTGTCTTTAGACTTAGATATGTTCTAGTAAAGAGGTTTAGATGTCGTCCGTGGTTGGCGTAAAACGGTGTTTTGCCTATTGCTTCTAATGTTTTGTTGTTGTATGCTATCTGTGCTATAGGTAGTAGTTATACCTAATTGTCTTGCTAATAATTAACATAAATCCTAAGATATGTCTTTATTATTTAGTTTGTTTGTTCTGTTTATTTATTAGTTTGTAGATAGTAAGCTATTAATAGCTTCCTCTTAGTTCTAATTGCTGCAAGTAGTGTCGTCTAAAAGTTAGATATAAATAGCTTGTCTCTATTGCTAATAATTAACTTTAGTATTCCGTAGTGTTAGATAATTCTATCGTGGATAATGTGTGCTAGGTCTACTGCTGTGTAGTTGTTTCTAAATAGGATATACTCTGCTTGTTTTGTAAAGCGATCTACTACAATAAGTATCGCGTTATAGGTAACCTTAGTTGTTAGATCCTTTAATGCTAGTAATCCTGTAACAAAGTCTATAGAGATGTCTGCCTACGGTTCTTGTTGTAGCTCTAAAGCTTGCATTTCTCCGTATAGTGCATGCGTGCTATGCTTATTCTTTTAGCATTCTGCGCATTTAGCGATATACGCTGTAACTTTATCTTTTATTCCTTTAAATTAGTAGTTGCGCTAAATTAGTTCTATAGTCCTAGTAATTCCAAGATGTCCGTGTACAGGATTATTATAGCGTTCTTTAATAATAGTGTTTCATACTTGTTTAGGTACATCGTTCCTAATTTTTATAATAATATTAAGTTTATGTGTAGGTCCTAGGGATCTATCTCTGTTAGTCTTAAGTATAGGTTTGTTAACTATCGTCTTAGTTCCTGCGATGTTGTGTTGTTAGCTAAGAGCGTTAGCTCTTTTGTTTTCTTTTCCTAGTGTGTAGACGATTTTAAACTTATATTGTCCTAATAGTTTAGCCTATCTAGTCTGTCTTTAGTTAAGTACCTTTGTTGTTGTGAAGTGTACTAGGTTCTTATGGTCCGTATAGATCGTGAGTTCCGAATAGCTTTCTGCGTATACTCTCTAGTGCTGCAGACATGCTACAATAGCTAGTAATTCCTTGTCATGTACATCGTATCGTTCTTCTAGTCCTGAGAACTTCCTTGAGTAGTATGCCACTAGGTGCCACTTGTCGCTGATGAGTATGCTCGCACAGCCTCCTAGGGCTAGATCTGATGCGTTGGTTTCGATCTTTATTAGTACGCCTAGTGTAAATATTCTAAGACATAGTGGTGTAACATATGCTGTCTTAAGCTTGTTAAAGGCTTTGTCTGCTTCTTTGCTCTACATAAATGGCGTATCTTTCTGCGTGAGTTGTGTCATTAGTATCGCAATCTTCAACAAGTCCTAGATAAATTGTTAGTTAAAGTTTACAAATCCTAAGAATAATTAGATTTCTATACCTATAGTTAGTATTAGCTAGTC